TTTGGCATCATAGCATGCATAAAAAACAAGACATGGACCCTGAAAAAGAAGAAAAACGGGAATTCATACTTCCTGATTTCAAAACATACTACAAAGCTACAGTAATCAGACCTGTATGGTGCTGGCATTAAAGACAGAGGAGTAGAACGGTGCAGTAAATAGAAAGCCCAACAATAAAGCCTTGCTTATGTGGTCAGATGATCTTTGACAAGGCGCCAGACCACTCAATGGAGAAAGCACATGTGTTGGGAAAACTGCATGTCCATGTACCAAGGGATGATCTTACCCCATGTACAAAAAGTATCTCAAAATTGCATTCCTAACCTTGGCAAACAGAAGTGCCTATCTACATACATATTTGTCATCATACTAGGTTATCAGTTTCTCTGACTGTTGCTCTTCTAATGAATGAAAAATGGTTTTCTTGTGGTATTAAGATTATTGTATATATTCTGTGTTTTTTTAAGCAGCAAGTAATAGCAAGAATAAGCTGGTATTGGAAGGATGTAAGGAAAGCTTTCTCCTAGGGACAGTAGTTGAATATTAGGATGGATTTAATAAGGAAGATGTTGAATTGGCTTCTTTAGAATATTCAGAAATTAGCCTTAGCTGGCAGTATTCACACACCTTCAGCTACATTTCATAATGGCACACCCTCCCTCACCTGGTTAGCTATACCTGTCTTTGCTGCTTCGGATATAATAAATCAGTAACATAAGTATGAAGTTGTTGGAAACAATTATAAGAAGTATATAAGTTCTTTCTAACAAATTATTGCCCTTACTTTGAAAACCAAATAATACAACAGAGAAGAGGGCATATTAAATTTCTTCAAGTCTGATTTATTGTTTTTGTTAAGTTGGGTTAGGAGATTTCTTATGTCTTTGGGCAAAGGGAGCATATTTAATAAACCTCTTTCTGCCTAAAGATATTTTCAGTTTTGTCACTTTGTGAATTGGCTCTCAGAACATGTGTTCTTATGTGATGCATGAGGTCACCTATTTGACAATATGAGTCATTAAAATTCTAGAACCGAAAGGGACCTTAAAGATCCAGTCTGATTTAATCATGGGATTTGAAAGAGCTAAACCCCTGCTGTTGAAAATGGGATGGCCTCCTCATTTTAGATTGCTGCACATGTTTATGTGCTGAAAGGAATATATTAATATGAGATTTCGTTTCCCATTTCCATCTCCCTAGAAATAGAAAAATATTAGTAATTCTGAGGCATAGGAAATCCAGAAGCAGATTTTCTTCCTCTTTATAGAAACAAGTACATTATCTCTCTTTTTTTTTGTCTCGGAAGGACGGAAATGAATTTGCTTCTGTGCTAATAAGATCTTTCATTAGGCCACAGGGATTAAATTAAGTTTTTCTTTTCCTAACACTTAATGATTTCAGCGTCTCATTTAGTTCTCGATCTTGACATACTCATATTGGAAAAAGCAAATGCTGTCAAATTAATTGCCCACTTCTAGAATTCAATTTCCTTTCTAGCTTCAGGTTCTTACTATATGAAAAACATACAGGCAGTTTATGAGTTTTATGAGGACAGACTGTTCAGAAGCAAATCAGAATGATGTATTTTTGGAATTAAATAGAGCTATAGAAAGCAGAAGTTGAATTTCTTATTTAAGCTTTTGTTGGTAGAATAACTCATTTGTTGGGAATAACTCTAAAAAAGACATCTGTAATTTTTTTGATGGTTGATAAAATGTGTTTTCTCAGTGGTGTGAAGGGTTCAGTGAGTATATCATTTATCAAGTGAGAGACTGAACAAGTTTTTTTTGTTTTGTTTTTTTATTTTATTGATTTTTTACAGAGAGGAAGGGAGAGAGACAGAGAGTCAGAAACATCAATGAGAGAGAAACACCGATCAGCTGCCTCCTGCACACCTCCTACTGGGGATGTGCCCGCAACCCATGTACATGCCCTTGACCGGAATCAAACCTGGGACCCTTCAGTCCACAAGCCGAAACTCTATCCACTGAGCCAAACCGGTTTCGGCAAGTTTTTTTTTAATACTAGTATAATCTGATCTCTTCGGGAAAAACTTCTCTCCAGAAGGAGTTGTAGTTACATTTTATATTTTGAAGTCTTTGGTTTCATTTATTCAGGCAAAACATTTAACTTGATAAGTGTAAGAACAAGGGTTTATGCTTATGTTATCAATTATTCTAGTCTTCATTGGTGCTGGGTATAAAAAAGTTAAGGACTGAAAAGTCAAGTTACTAGTCAGGAGGTAGTTAGTTGCTTTTTGTTAATTTTCTATATGAACAGCCAAATGCTGAGGTTTCACAAGAGAGAGAGATCATTGGTGGATGCAAGTAAACTCCCTAAAGGATTCCGCTGAGCCCTTGAGTAAGAGCTGAATCTAGAAAGGTGGAGACAGTGTGTGTGAGGCAGAGGCAGAGAGTGAGAAGGAGGAATTGGGGATGTTGTATTTGGAGAATGATAATTTTATCAGCACTTAAGGGTGTCTCGTGCCAAGCACTGTCCCTAGTATGTATTACTAGGGATGTATTAACTGATTAATACAGCATGTATTAACTGTATATATGAGTAGATACAATGACTAGCTCCATTTTGCTGAAGAGGAAGCCAGGGCAGTAAGACATTAGTTAAATTGCCCAAAGTCATATAACTCCTTAGGTTAGTGGCTCTCAACCTTCTGGCCCTTTAAATACAGTTCCTCATGTTGTGACCCCCAACCATAAAATTATTTTTGTTGCTACTTCATCACTGTAATGTTGCTACTGTGATGAATCGTAATGTAAATATCTGCTATGCAGGATGGTCTTAGGCGACCCCTGTGAAAGGGTCATTTGACCGCCAAAGGGATCGCGACCCACAGGTTGAGAACCGCTGCCTTAGGGGTAAAGGTGGTTTTTCCAAGCCAGACAGCCGGAGACCTAATACTTAACTTGATAAGGGTGATAACCGGGGCTCTCTCACACTGTAGCCACCATCACTGTGTGGGCAAGCCCTTGAAATGTGACTAGCCTAAACTGAGGTGGGTTCTAAGTGTAACATACACAGACTATGAAGCCTGAGTGTGGAAAACACAGTAAAATGATACCATGTGCCAGTGAACATAGATTGCATATTGAAATGGTAATGCTTTGACTATTACGTTACATAAAATATTATTACCATTAATTTCACCTAGTTTTCAAATATAGCTGCTAGTAAATTTTAAATTACTTGTGTGGCTCGCATGATATTTTCCTTGCATAGTGCTGCTAACGCCTGCCCACCAGTGAGGGAAAAAGAAAGAAGGGTGATGGTAGGAAAAGGATGTTTAGGATCAGATTTTATGGGTATTCACGTTTATCTTTGAAGCTAGTGATCTGTCTCAGATTCGTGGGTGGGTTCAGTCATCCCTAATTCATTACTTTAATCTCGTCCTTGCCGAGATTTTAGGGCTACCTGGAGAAGGAGGGGAATCAGCAGAAGAGACTAGCTCTGGCTGTATGAAGGCAGTGAATGTGAATGCCATTGTCTTAATTTTCTGCTCAATTCCATTGATTTGGACTTCAGCAGCCTGCAAAACAGTGTCAAATGATTTTAACAGAAGTCAGGAAGCTGCTGAAATTCTATCACTGGCACTGCATAGAAATAGCCACAAAGGTAGTGCACAGCTTGCAGGCGGTTGTTTTCAAATGTTTCCCATTGTTAAGACGACTAGAATTTGGAGTGCATTTTCTTATAGTATTATAAAGAGACTTGGGATTCTAGACGAGCCTTCAAAAACATCTTCAAGCTACCCGAGTAATAGCTTGTTTCACCTTCCTTTAACCTCCGTTTGTACTGTGGCCTCCTTGGAAAATGTATTCCTGCGATAGTGGGAGATGCCTGATTAAATTCTTCCCCGCTTCTTAATAGAAACTCCCCCGTCAGGGGCATGGAGACATGGCTAAGCTGTCATAAACACAGATAGCTTGTATAAAAGAAAGCATTTTTTTTTCAAGTTTTTTCTCTTCCTGGATGTGTTGAATTGTGGCATAAAGAGATATTGGGTCTCTGCAGGGGCAGGAAGTCCAGATTGCTGCTGTCTTCGGTTTGATCAGATGAGTCATCTGTGAATTGAGTCAGGTACTTTTAATGCCAGGATGGAGGAGAAAGAACACAGTTTGCGTGGTTTGGTTTTGTACAGCATCCAACAGAGGTAATGTGCACAGACTATCTGTTTGAAGGCTTATTTGCTTTTGTATCTCTCAGTGCTCAAGACAGAAGAAATGCTGTGTTTCATGGATGGATGGATGGATGGATGGATGGATGGATGGATGGATGGATGGCTAGTTGACCTTCATGAAGTGCTATACATTCTGTATGGTTTTCAAAGATTGTGGTAATTTGATGAATACATTATTCTTACAGCAATTTAAAAATTGACTCTTGGATTTTAGAGTGATGCACTTTGCTAGTTACTTTGCTTTTTCATAGCAGAGCCAGTGAGTTTTCTAAAACTGTGCAAATGGATGGCCTAGTTGCCACCGGCCCCACAATGAGGCGGTTGTTTTTGGTGCAATGGAAAAATTAGCAGAATAAAGAGATTACCTAACCGAATTGGGTTGCCACAGAACAAACTGTAATTTTCCAAGGTATACACACAAAAAACCTGCAAGTCTCAATCTCCAGGAAATGTTTCTATATTAAAATAATAACCGTTCTTACTTTCGACCTTAACTGTAAGCCCCACTGTTTCTGAATGGTATCCTTCTTCATAAGCCATAGGAGAGTGAGTAGACTGGGTAACAGAATACATGCAGGCATGGGCTTTGGAACTCAGGCCACCTGGACTCAAACCCCACTCCACCACGTAATCCCCTGTGATGGTGGTTAAGCTGTGTGAACGAAGCGGTCTGTTTTTCTCATTGTAAAGGGGGGATGATACAGGATCCCTGTGGAGCTTTAAGTGAACGAATGTCTAGAAAGCACTTACGTACACAGAAACTCAGCATACGTGTCATTGTTATCCGAGAACCCCTGTATGCGCAATGCGTCTGCTTGCCTCTTGGCCTTTGCTCGTGCTCACCTTTTTTTCCAGTGTATCCGGGGGTTCCTGACCACTTTTGAAGGACTTAGTTTAGGATGACTCCTCACTATGTTTTTTTCATCTCTCTCTACCTCATCTGGTTCCCATAGTAGTCAGTTACAACACTCAGCATGTATTATAATTATATGTTTGTCCCCTACACTGACGACACTACAAATTCTTTAAGGAGTGGGTTTGTATTTTGCTCTGCTCCTGCTGCCCGTGGTATTTAGCAGAACATTTGTTGCACTGTTTAAGGGACATGTATTTGGAAACCTTTTGTAAATTGTACACTGTTAATCAGAAGATAGTGCTCCTTGAGGACTTAATATATACCTAGCAATGTGTATTCAGAAGCAGTTACTTGGTATTTAAATCCCAGAGATTTAAGAGAGTATCATTACCGTGAAGCTAATTGAACAATGAGTCCAAATACTAGATTGTAACATTCTTTGCCATCTAGACCTAATCGATTTTAGCAACTTGTAAAACCTCATAGATGGGAAAGATCTATTTCCTTCCTACTGGGTAGGCATACTAGATATCAGGTTCAGCCCATTTTTTTAATTGATTCTTCCCCTTCAGATTCTTAAAGCTGGTTGGTTTCAATACAGTATTTTGTTCATATTTTGAAGTGTTGAAATGAA